TCTGCCTACTAATTGACAATGCAACTGTTGATGTCAGCAGCCAACGAAGTACTTGAAGATGTCGCCCAATGCAGACCATCGCCAATACCAGGTATGTGCCTTCACATCATCATCATCATCATCATCCTTCTCTCTCTCCCTCGTCTTATACCCACGTCTTCCCTCTGTACACCCGAAGACCACCTCTGCACCTCAGCCAGCTATGAGGCTGGGCTATGGCGCTGCCCTCAGCAGCGCCCTGCTTCTCGCACGACCGCATGCGCACAGCACCTTGCCCTTAGCGCACAGCAGCACGCGAGCCTACGCTCCAGCAGTGCTGCCGCACAAACTGACAAGTGCCTCAATGAGCCTCCAGGCAGCGAGCTCTTTCCTATATGGAAAAAATCTGCCTGCCCCGGGGGCCTGGCTGGGCTGGGCCTGTGCCCAGAAGCTGCTGGTAGGCCCCAGGAGGCTGTGCCTCGGTTGCAGCTGCTGGGCCTCGTTCGGTTGGGCCTCCCAACTGTCTGTGTATGATGCTGCGATTCTTGCCCAGGGCCTGCATTTCAGGAAAGGCCTGGAAGGCCTTGGAAAATCTTTGCTGCTCGGGCCAGGGTTTCCTCAACCAACTGGCGCGTCACAACTGCCTGGACCCCAAATAAGAAATTGACAGCAATGGGCCTCTCGAGATTTGTTAGGCCAGCCTTCACTTAGGGCGGCACATCTGTATCAGGGCCCCTTTGGCCTGCCGAGAACCCAGATCCTCGCACTTTTTTTTCTTTTTTTTTTCCCATGGCCAAGATGTCCATGTGGCCACGACCGCGATGTCTTGGCCACGCCCATGGCTGGGCCACAGCCGCGATGTCTAGGCCACGCCTGCGGCTGGCCATGGCCGTGATGGGCCACAGTAGCAGGGAGGGGGGGGGGGGAAACCACAACCGCCTTAATGAAAACACCACCCTGACACCACTGCCGGCCTGAGTTACAACCGCCTTTTCAAACTCAGGCCATGACAAAGAGTTGCCGACTGCCTGTTTTTTCTGCCCATTACAAACTCCCATGTGACATAAACGCACTTCCCTCTTTATTTTTTATTTTTTTTGTAAGCCCAGGTTGTTGTAGAGGTGGGGAGAGATGGCAGTCACCCACAGTTGTCCAGACAGATGAACCCCTCTGAAGACCCCACCCACCCTTCCTCTCATCTTTTTTTTGCCCTGGCGCACCCCCACCCCCCCTGTCCTACCCTAGTGCTAACCACCCAGGACCATAACCCATCACCATCTTGGCAGGGTAACCTGACCAGACAGTGGTTGCAGGCACCCGAGCTAAGCAGAGACACCTGCCCCCCTGCTCAGCTCTGGTTGAAGCAGACGCCGTGCAAGCCTGATTGCACGGGGATATGAACATGCTACTACAGGTCTTCATGAGTGTGCACAACTGGATTTTGAACTTGGCTGGGGGCTGGGGCCATGTACTGGTGGTTTAACCATCTCAAGTTTTCAGACCTTGTCAACATATATTCTCAATCACACACACAAAAAAAAAAGGGGTAACTGCACGGGAGTCACAAAAACAGTTTGAAATTACACTTCAGGCCAAAACGAGTTTCAAATTGCACCAGGGGCGATATCAATAGATTCATCTCTCGGTTCTGCGAGGACTGGCTGGGAGGGAAGAGGGAGGGCTGGGTGGCAAAGGTGAGTCGGGCAGGAGATGGGCAACAGGGACACCAACAGGAACATCGACAGGAGGAGGAGGTGGGACCGCAAGGGGGGCAACAGGCAGAGATTGAAAGGGACTATCAGCTGCATTTTCATGAGTGGACAAAGGTCGACCCTAGGGACCCGTTATGACCAGCCCTGGAATTTGCAGACCCCTTCCCCCCCCACCCGTTGTCCCTGGAGGAAACGCCACCTGAGTAGCTGCCCCAGGACACTAAGTACTCAAGCGCTTCCTGGCTCATCCATCCGGTGCCATCTACAGTGAAGCTGAGCATCTCCCAGGAATCCTGCAGGGCTTCTGAAAAATGAGGAACGACAATGAAGGCCCAAAAGAATGCTGGGCCCAGTTCCCAGTGCATATATGAGGAAAGCACCGTAAGAGATTGGGGCCTGGCGAGGAAATGGAAGGAGGCTCCCATTGGTGGCCCCCAGTGGCTCCTTCCGTTTTCCTGAACCAGACCGGATGTCAGGAGAGGGGCAGGACGCTGGACCAGGTTTCCAGCAACGGGGTTTTTCCCGGCCTGTCGCATGATCATGGCTTTCTCGTTTTCTCATTTTCACCTATGTACTTCCAAAGGACGCTGACCCTGGTTCTCAGCACAAAAGGTGTATCAATGGGACGCTGGACCCGGTTTCCAGCAGGTGCCGCTCCCCACCAATAGACAGAGCAGCCCGGCAGATAAGCACTCCGGGCAATGTACCTCACCGGAAAGCTGGCTTGTATACATTGCCCGGAGTGCAATTTGAAACTCGTTTTGGTCCGAAGTGTAATTTCGAACTGTTTTTGTGACTCCCGTGTAGTTAACCCCCTAAAAAAAACAGTATTCTCAATCATGTTCAAGGGACGATGGACCTGATTTCCAACAGGTGCTGCTCCCCACCAATGGAAAGGAGCCATCTAAATGAGCAGGCTCCAGCTGAGCAGGTGGTCCTACAGCCTACACAGTAATTGCCTGTCCTTGATGTATTTTTTGGGGGGGCAAGTGAGCAAGTATGTTGGAGTCACACCCAATGTTCAGAGTAGGCAACTTTAGCAGTTCCCGAAATGGAGCAAAAAAGGCCACCCCCTAAATCTGGCAAGCGCCACTGCGGGTAATGACTGGCGCAGTTTTTTTAGACCCCCAGCTAAACTTGCACATTTTGAAACTCACACCATGGCCTTGGCGCCACTTTGTCTTTTCTTGCCTATTTTCAACTAAAAAGTGTGTCACAGCCACAGTTTCCCCCTTTTGTTTTCTCTTTTTTTTCTCCCCCATTTTTTGTAAAGAGTCTTTGGGTGTTGTTAGACACTTTCCGCGGCCCAATTTATATGATTATGCGCGGCCAGTGGGCCACGGGAGGTGTGTCCGTGGTGCGGTTTAGGATGTCCACGCAGGAGGCATGTT